AGTGGTTTCTTCTTTTTTCTCTGAGTCTTGGAATGTTGTAACGCAGGCTCCTTTTCTACTGGAAAAGTTAGAACTTCTGAACCAGAATGTAAATTAGGAGTAACATTATAACTCCTACTAGCACCTACATTTGGAATAAAAGAACTTTTACAAGGAGCAACATGCTGTTTTGTAGTAGCACCCATTGAACTGGTAACTGGAGCCTCATGAGCAGTTTTTAAAGATGGGGAAAAATGATTTTCATTGTTTTTCTTTTGCACATGTTTTGGCACTCTTGGAAGTTTGTTTTTCTTTGCATGTAGCAGCTTGTGATTCTTTTCTACTAATTTTTCTCTGTCAATATCTGAACTTTCACTGGAGCGATCTAAGTTTCCCACCAAACCATCTACAGATGGAGGAATTTTTAATATGCTACTTTCTGACTTACTGCCTTTTGGCATTGACTTTTTGCTCTTATGCTGTCTTTTAACTGCTGTGCTTGGCCAATTGGCATCTCTATTTTCCTCATCTGAATGCACCAGGCTGTCTGATGTCCTACCCTCACTTGAACCTTGACTTGTTTTGGCCCGCACTAAAGCGAGAGCATTTTTTACTGTAAACTGCCCATTTTTGCCATCTGGTGGTGATTCCCTAGTCCTTTCCCTAACTTTCTGTAAAACTTTGGCTGCAGTAGCATTTTTCAAAACAGGGAATCTGGCCATAGCACCATTAACTGAAGACTTTTCCTCAATCTTTCTTGGCTCAGAAGCTAGACTATCTTGTAGCATCAAATTCATGGGGTCTTCCTCCTTTTCTCTATCATCCAAACTGTTTTTACTGTTTGACATTTTCATCCCGACTTGATTTAAAACATCTTTAAGAACAGCTCCAGCCTCACGCCATTTCTTAAGTTTGGTCCTTTCATCAGTTGTGTCAGACTCTTCATCCTCATTAATACTAGGAGCTTTTTGAAAATCCCCATTAAAATGGGTTAGATGAGGCAGTGAGACATTATTGTCTTCTGTCACATTCTGTGGCAGTTTTGGCCTAGCACCCCTATGGACGTATTCTAGGTGTGCTTGGGAATACTCCTTTGCATTAGGTGGAAGACATCCATCACATTCCTGACCTGATAAAGGCAAGGTATTGGGCATGTCTTCATCAAAGGTATTTTCATTCAGTTGTGTCATTCTCTTTGGACCTTGTAAACTCTGTGCGAGGTGTGGCATAGAATTTGCCTCGCCTCCATTCAATGTTTGAAAGTGTTTGACAAGCGCTTTGTTGGACCTGTTTTTGGAACTGCATGAGGCATCCTTAACACAATTTTCATCTGATGCAGTTACTGTTACTGGGTCACTTTCCTCTGATGTCACTGGGACTGTGTCACTTTCTTCTGGTGTTAATGTGAGTGGGTCACTTTCATCCGATGTAGCTTTTTCAGCATTGGCACTTGAGGTGGTTCCCATGATGCAACTGGACAAGTATGTCCTTATCTAAAATGTAAAACAATAAATCATACATCAAACAAAATACTACTAGATCAGTAAGCATCTGTCATAAACAATGCATCTTTAAAAACTAAAGGTATACTGCAGTCATGACAATGTCTAATTTATGTTTCCCTTGGTTGCAAAGTTTCTTTTATTATATGTACATATTCATAAGCAAGAAAACCTAAACTTAACTTGACAGAGCAATCTTGACAGAGCTATCAGAGCAATCTCTTCAACAAAAGCTTTGAGAGAAACTTCGGGGTCCAGACATGAAACACTGTTTTAGATCTGTATATCTGAACATGTATAATGGGATAAAACACTTAATTTTGACCCTTGAGAATTGAATTAACAATCTCAGAATTCTGTGATTCTGCACAAAAAGCTAATGTTGGTTGTAATATCTGGGGCCTTTTAGTGCAAAAGGGTTCAAACTCTACATGCGCCTTGAACCAGATTACATCTCTGCTCTGAGGTTTAATTGCTAGGCCCCTGCAGCTAGCGACAGCGCATGTGGAGGCAGGGAGCATCAGGAATAAGCGGCATCCCTTTTGACCTATGGTTGGCCATATTTTGTTGAAGGATCAGTAAGCACTAGGATCATCCATTCTAAATGGGGCCTAACAGGTTTAAATCAGAATGCCTCGTCCTGGCATCTAGGCATGGAATTTGGCATAAGGAACTGTAACTGTTAGTGTTAGGATACACAGAGCCTAATGTTTTTCTTGCAATATGAGGAATTGACCTTGTTTGATGCCTGCTTCAACAGCATAAATATATTAGGTCTATTTCATACTTATCATACAAAGGTATCTTTTCATTTACAGAAAGTAAGGTTTAGTCTAAGGTCCTAAAAGAGTGAGTCACAAAATTCAGGTGGTGTTTTTTTATGGAAACTTACTTTCAACTATACACAATTGATATTTAAAAACCTCATTAATTAAGGATTGTAGCAAAATAGTATTGAAATACTTGCCCTTCAATTTTTCATTAATTGAAATATCGTTCTTGCATCGAAATTATCTTGCCAGGGTAGCACCTTCTTTTTGTCGAGTTACCAATATGTTTTCATGTAGTTTCGAACTTTTATGTTTTGTACGTATAGGCTGTGTATTATGTTTGATCCATAAAAAACGCATGTATATAAAAATGATTGTTATGAAGCTGTTTATATAAAAATCATAAACCGAAATAATTGCATACCCTAATTCTAAACTAAATCTGTTTAAGAAAGTGACTCTGCTTAATTTGTTGTAGCTGCGAAGACAACACGAGTGGTGTGATGTTACAAGTAATCAAAACATGAGTTCTAATTGTTATATGGAATAGTTACTAACATCCAGGTAGGTGTTATCTTGTCGAAATGACACATTGTATTAGTATAATTAATAGGATAGACCACGACCGACAGTCAAGGAGCATTTTAGTAGATTATCAAAATGTCAATACTGCACGTACGTAGCAGTGGCAACCATTTCTCGCACTGCCATTGCATTGGAACCTTTAGACTCGGCCAGGAAATTTCAACATCCTTTCGTAAAAATGGAAATATCAGCAGCATGGCAAGGCTTTCTACATTTATATCTTGCTGCTTGAAGGGCAATTTGTAACTTGAGGGCATTGGCATTATTGATCGAATATGTGGAACAGTATAGTATTCATTGTTATTAAAAGTAAAGGCCATAAATTGTGGCATGGACTCAGAACCTTTCTCAATAAACCTGACATCTCATATCTCATAGTCAAGCATGATTAATATCACTACAGCTTGAGTTATATTATTTCACCTTTCAGCATGTTTCACTATCCTGAATCCATTCAAGGGACAGAAATGTGAGTCTGTGTTCAACATCTCTACAGCTTGAGTAATATTCTTTTACCTTTCAGAATGTTTCGCTCTCCTGATCCATTTAAGGGACAGAAATATGAGTCTATAAAGAAGGATTGTATAAAGAGGGGACAGCCATTTGTAGATCCAGAGTTTCAACCCAACAACAAGTCATTATTTTACAGTAAAGTGGACAGTGACATTGAATGGAAAAGACCTGGTGTAAGTAATGTTCACAAACTTATGTCTTCTTTTTTTGTATATAAAATGTATTTTCTGAGCACTGTATGTAACTTACTTGTATTTGATGGTAAGTATAAGATTGTAACTATTGAGGTTTATTTTCTGGTACAGAAATAACAGTTGTAATAAAATGTGCAATGCAGTGCAATACACACACACACACACACACACACACACACAAACACTTTAGCTCCTGTGTGTAGTGCATTTCATGAAATATTAAAGCCCTCAGATATTGGCAATAGCACCCCAAAAGATGAAAATCACTCCTGAATAACACCACACAAGAGAGTCATCCTTAAGACAAGTCCCATGAATTAACTTTTTTGTAAGACAGTAGCTCTTTGTGCAAGGGGCTTAAGGTTCTGTTGCATGCATAAACTGTATTGGATATTTATTTACATTTTTGTTTGTTTTCATTAATATCAATTTATGATAATATATATTTTTGTAAAGAGTTACCTTTAATTGTACCACCAGCGTTAGCGCTGGTGGTACACATGGTTTTAGTCCCGTCCGGTCCGTTCCGCCGGCTCCGCCGCCATGTTACCGTTACCGCTTCTCCTCCTAGACANTAACTTTGATTGTACCATTTTAAGTTATATATATTTTTTGCGTATTTTGAAAATTCTTGTTGATTGCATTTTTATAGCTTGTCAAGCATAAGACATGTGGCTGTGTCCCTTATTTTGTGTATGTGGGGGTCTATACGAATGCGCTTGCTCCAGCTGGTGGTACAATATTCGGAGGCGGTATCGCCTCTCTGATCCTCTAGTTTATTTTGTTCTCAGGAGCTGTGTAAAGTGCCCCGCCTGGTGGTGGAAGGTGTCACTACAGATGACTTGAACCAAGGAGAGTTAGGCAACGTGTGGTTTGTCACAGCATGCACGAGTCTAGCACATCTTCCCAAACTTTGGCAAAAGGTAAGTTGTTTATACTTAAACCACAATGGAAGCCATGCTAAAATATTATTGTTTAGCCAGTGATAAAAACTTTGAAAGGTTATTATTCCTTTAACATTGGCCTCATACCAAATGCAGCAGGACCATTAGAATTGTGTAAATTTTTTCAGCTACTGGTCACTATTGCTGCTTTGTGTCAGTAGATACTTGGCCCAGGATACTTTTAAAATCCAGCAGGCTAAGTTTTAAGAACAGACTGCTTTGTTGTATCAATTCCATATTATTAAATACTCACATGACACATCCTTAGTGATAGTCAACATTATTATTTACACTATAGATCCTTTAATACTACTGATAATATATTCTGGTAATTTATTCCAACACATAAATTTCTGCCTTTCAAGAAAAACACCCTGCTTAAATTGCTTAAACCAGTGAAACAACAGTTCATCTAGTTCTTGATTTTTGCTGCACCATTGCTTCTGTGGATGTTGTTGTTCAAAACAACAGTTTAAGTAATGTTTTCATTATTCCTAATCTTGCTCGAAGTATTATAATCATTCAACTTCATCTACTTTAAGTGGATGTTGATAGCTGGTCAAGTGTTTGGATAGACAATATCTGATTCTTGGCCAGTGGGTAGTAATAATTTTTGTTTAGTAGGAAATTGTTGTAATTAGCTAAATCAGTATTTAACCTGCCTTGAATTCCCAGAGATCAATAAAATAGAATTCATTACTTTTCATTTTCCTTATATGTAATAGGGAAAACCATTTGCTTTAGCCACTGGTTAAACTAATTATATTTTAAAGTCATGAATCTCTTTTTCACTTTCTCATGTTTTTTTTACACTGCACTTTAGTGCACAGCATTATTTGTTAGAAACAATCAATGGTAACCATTGCAGTTATCAAAGACTGTTTGCGCACTGTAAACCAACATTGTCAACAAAGCCTGTAAAGGTGATGCTTGTTGAATATGTTATTGATTTTCTCCCCATTTTCATTTTTACTGTATGAATACCATATTGATCTTTGTCCTTGTTGATTTATGTGGTGGCCAGTGTCTTTATTTGACAAGATAATGTTTTAAGTGAAATTATTAGTGTTAGAGCAATTACATATTAGTGCAGCCATAATGAATAACCTTAAAATTGATAGAAATAGCTGAGGTTATTGTCACCTTTATATGAAAACAATACTGATTCGTTTTTACTTATTAATTTTTATTTTTACTGATGTCTATGATTGTTTAAATGAATACTCAGTAAGTTGACAACATTTTATCAGTGTATTTGTGCATAGGTTTTATGAGGCGAGGGGGAGATTAAATGTATTGACAGATCTACATTGAAAGTTACTTAGCACACTGTTTAGCTGATAAATTTAACACATCATATCATGTCCTCATAATCATTTCACCTGTCTCTCGTTAATATAAAGCAGTCACCTGAGTTGTACTTTAAATTTCCTTCTTCATAATTTTCTTTATAACCATTTGATTTAAAAAATAATCACATGAAATAGAGTATTGTAGTTTTGAAAATAAAGAAGCCACTTTGTGCTTGTATTAGATTATTTGATGCTGAGTTATTTATAAAAAAGAATATGCAGGTATGTATGAACCCAGAAATCAGTCGTAAGATATCTCGTCCAATCTTATCTAGTTTCATGTACTGTACATGTACATATACCAGACTGTGTATCACCAAGTCTCAAAATAATTTCATTTCTAATACCATTTTAATTTAACTTGTATCTTCTAGGTGGTCCCTAACCACAAGGAGCAAGACTGGGGCCCAGAAAGCGAGTATGCTGGAATATTCCACTTTCATTTCTGGCGGTATGGTTGTTGGGTGGATGTGGTAGTGGATGATTTACTGCCCACAAAGAATGGAAAGCTGGTGTTCTGTCATTCTAAAAACAAGAATGAATTTTGGAGTGCTTTGCTGGAAAAGGCATATGCAAAGTAAGTGAATTAAAACTTTTTTGGATGTCGTTATAACACTTTAAAAATGTCTTATGAAGTATTAATTTATTTTCGTTTTATGCATCAAAGCATGAAATGGGAAATGTGGATAACTCCTTTTGATAATCTAAGGACTATATTCAATTGGCACAACATGTCATTAATTAGATAAACTGGTAAGGCAACTGTCTTGTAACGTACTATTTCCAGTTTTAAACTAATACGCAAACACAGTAATTACATTGGTTTTTCTATGTACAGCAAATACAAGCAGGTACACAGAAAAAGTATTTCATATATATGTATATATATATATATAATTTATGCATGTTAAGCAATTATCTTGACGTTTTTTACTGTGTGAGCATAAATCTTGACATAATTTTCACCTGGCATTATTCACTTTAGGCTCTATGGTGACTATGAGACCTTAAAGACAGGGTACCCTGCAGATGCCCTGGTGGACTTCACTGGGGGCGTTGCAGAGAAACTGGACCTTATGCAATACGGAGTTAGGCAGAATGAGGATGACAAAATGGAGTTCTTTGAAGAGCTGTTGGATGCCAGTGAGAATAGTTCTCTGATTATTGCTACAATTTCTGTAAGTACATTGTATTAGGCGTATTGTTAGAGATCTATTGACACTATATCACACCAACCGTAATGTCACTTGAAGCTAAAACAAATGGTCTCAAGGAATTTCATTTCCTATTTTTAATGTGCTTCTCCATAACACAGAACATAAGAAACTATTGGAAGTCAAGCCTACATAAAAATTATTTGTAGAGTTATTTTTTTCTGTTCATTGATATTTTAGTGTCCACAATCTGATGTGGGGCAGTCAGGAAGACAGGGTCTAATGAAGGGGTATGGTTATGGCGTCACTGCTGTTAAAAAGATAAGTGTTAACAAGGGTCTCCAGGCAGCCACAGGGTCAGGCACCTTGCTCATGCTTCGGCTCAACAACCCCTGGGGGACCCAGGAGTGGACAGGTGCTTGGTCTGACCAGTGAGTAGCCTAATTTAAATATGCTCTGATCACAGATAATGTACAACTATTGAGACATGCCCTGAGTGTTAGGGCCACTGTGAAGCTAAATTGCTGACTATTCAAACCTGTTCATGGGCTTCAGCAGTGGCCCTAAGGAACAACAGTCAAAGCTGTGACGTACGAGACTTATGACTTCCAAATGTGGAAGCGCCCCAGGCAAAATTTTGACAAACATGCCCTCAATCTGACGCTAGTGGCTAGAGTTTCGTATTGCTGATATGGGTTATATATGAAATCAAGATCGAGCTGGTAATACGGAAATCTACGACCTAGGGTATTGAGACAGTGTTCTGGCATTGTGAGGCTACTAGTGGTTTGATGTAACTTTGTTGTCAGTCATTAGGTGGTCTTTGTCATTTACCCGTTGCTCTTTCCAATTGAATTCCACTAAAAGCTTGACTGTTTGGCCATTTTGTACGTAAATGGGGTAATTTATGGGTGTATTCCCAGAGATTTAGATCGATCCAGAGATTAAGATTTAGATCGACCTAACTCCTAGGGGGTTCACGCTAAATTGCAGTCAGCCGAGTGCACACCATAGTTAATTACCCCCTTACAGCTTTCAGTAGGCGGGACAGACACTTAAGCTGGCTAAGCTGGCAGTAATCTAGTGAGACTCCCCACAGGGATAGATCGATCTAAAATCTATGGAAATGGGGTCTATGATTCATTATTTGCTTTGATTTCTTGTGCAGATCTGAAGAATGGAAAAATTTGTCAGAGGCAGAGAAGAAGAAGTTAGGACTAACATTTCAAAATGAAGGAGAGTTTTGGTATGTTTTTATCTTCTGTGAAATACCTGATATTATAATCCATTGAAATGTTAGCAGTAAACATTATGTTATTAATCACAGTAATCTGTTTAGTGATCTTAAATATAATCATCAATTGAGTCAGTAGTCTTGAATATATTACATTTTCTTCTTTTTTGTAAATCACTGTGAGTATTTGGATATCTTAACACCTAACACATTTCTGTTAATTTCAGAATTGATGTTTTGTTACGTCTTACAGGCTTAAACTGTTTATTTTTCTTAAAACAGGATGTGTCTGGGTGACTTTATCCATTACTTTGAGAATGTGGACATGTGTCATTTTGTCAACACGTCTTTCTTCTCCCTGAAAAAGACCTGGTATGAGTCACTCATGCCTGGAGAATGGACCCAAGGAGCAAGAGGTTCTCCCCAGAACAGAAGTGGTGGAGCATTCCACAATAAAGATTCATTCCTGAATAACCCTCAGGTATCTCACACCTACTAGTGGAATATGAAGGTCACAACTGAAGCATTTCCCACATTAGTATTTCTTTTGACTCTATTTGGCACTAGTTTAGACATTTAAAGTAGATTTGAATAACTTTTTTTAATTAAAAAAGAATTACTTCTAGTTATATATAAACTCTGACGTAAACAAAAGTCAGAATTATGTAGAATTCTGAAATGTACCAAATTCAAGATAATATTAATAGAACACTCATGCACCAAATTGTCTGATGGTTTCTGACTATTTATATTATCATCATATTAATCTTGATTTTCAGTTTGTATTTGACATCAAAGAGGATACAGATACTGCTATGATTTCATTGGAACAAGATGACAAAAGAGCTGATAAGAAGATAGGGGGAGAGCATCTACAGATTGGGTTTCATATTATGAAGGTAAGTTGATTTCTGTATGTTGCACTACTATTTTGATTCAACAAATAAAATTGACAAGATCTGTTTTTTATCATCATTTTATTTTCTAAAATATACTTGAACCTGTGCTTGTGTTAACAAATTCTGTTTATTTCCCTATGACTGAAGTTATCTATTTAGGCTAAAAAGAATTGTATTTTTGCCAATTTTGAAAGTGCCACAGTCATACATGAGCCAGTCATTCATATTCATATTCATACGCTTTGACCTGTTATTAAAATTCATAAGAATTGACCTGTTTTTAAAGGCTCAAATACAATATATGAATTGCAGTTAAAAAGTGACGCATGGATTTTGTACATGATGAATTCCAGGTTGAAGAGAACAGGAAATATAGGGTTCACATCCCTGGAGAAAAATGTGCCGAGACAGATTTCAAGCAATCCAGAAACATTTATGGAAAATACGTTCTGAGGCGTGGACGTTATGTGATTATCCCCTCAACTTATAATCCCGGTTCTGTAGGGAAATTCTTACTGAGATTATACACAGGGGCCAACTCCAGCTCCAAGTAAGTTAAACACATTTTTGAATATGCAAATGCACAATTTATTTTCATTTAATGTTTAACTTAACAAATCTAGAACACAGTATTAATTATAATATATCAGTAGAATTTCTTACACCTACTTGTAAGAGATACTTGGCTTACTGTGGCCTAATTTTAATTTACACTTTAACTTATATTATGAATGGATACAAAATCAGCTTAGCTAACCTTTTCATGAAATTATATTAATCTTATTAATATTCAATTCACATTCCCTTTTGCCTCAACCAGTATCAGGTAAAGTTGAATAGAAAATAGGGTGTAACCTTTTAGATAATTTTGCAACTTTTTAGTAGAATAATTGCTGGTGTTTATAGCAACCTCATGTCTTTGCGTTAGTTATCAAAGCTTTTTACATGTTTGTGTCATATATATTTCTTTTTATGTTTAGTTGTAGCTTTTTAAAAAACTTTATATTCTGATAGATGGAGAAAAGCAATGTGCAGTTATATATACAAGGCCTTATAAAAGGTCTTAGTTCTGATTTTTATATTTAGATAACTATTAAAAACACAAGAATATGTCAATTAGAATTTGAATTAAAAATTAAATATCCCAGAAAATATTTTACAGATAGATTATATAAATGTTTTGTGTTTGAATTGAAAAGCTACCAAACTTCAGAAAACGAAGATTGTGTCATATTTAATTTTTAATATCAACATATAAGGACAGGGTATGTGCAGTATGCTTTGTATGTGCAGTATTTACTTATTTTCCCAGTGATCATCATTGGATTCTGCATCTGCAATCATCTTTTCTGTAAAAAAACGCATTGTGTTTGTATTCTCAACTAACACACTGTGTGTATATTCACAGAGAGCTGACAAAGGAAGGGCCAGAAAGAAGCTGCTGTATCTGTATAAAACAGCCTCAGATAGTACTCACCATCACCATCATAAAGGCACGTGACCTGGAGAAAAGGGATAAAGATAAAAGTCCAGGTAAATCAAGAAATTTTACTATTTACAATTTAAGAGTTCAATTCATCAAATTAACCAGTCACACTGTTCTCCTTTATGCACAAATTTTGGTGTGTGTTTTTCAGGAGAGCCAAATCCGTATGTGGAGATAAAATGTGAGGGAGAAACTGTGAAGGCACCGATAAAGAAGAATACAGCTGTGCCAGAGTGGGGAACAATGGCAACTTTTTATCTCAAGAAACCAGACACACCAATCATTGTTGATGTAGGTTTATTATGATGTATTTATATTACTTACAAGTTATTTCATTGTTCATTCAATCAATTTTTCTATAAATTAAACATAACCTGGACCAGTGACTAGAATAAATGTATCCTAGCAACAACATATTATCTATACCACTAAAACTGGATTGTCGTAGTAGAATTTGCCTTTAGAATGACATTCTGATAAAAATTGTTCACATACAAGCACAAATACAACCATAAGTTTTATTTGTGATTTCAATCCACTAAAACTTGGACGGTACTATTTGATATTGTTTATTTATAGAAATGTCTATTTTATATATATATTTTTTTATTTTTAAGATTTTCAACCACAAAACCTTGCTTGATGAGTTTATTGGGCAGGCCACCATTCCTGACCTGGGCACTATGGAAGGAGAGGAAAAAGAATACGATCTCTTTGGAAAAAGCAAGAAGGAAAAGAAAGAGGGGACAAAATATCCCGGCTCGCTTAGAGTTAGGCTACAGTCCAGCTATGACTTGACTGACCTGTGATATACTGGTATTATATATAGTATTGGTACGCCTTTGGTCCATTACCTAAAATTATTCAGTTGTAAGAGGACATTTATACCAACAATCTTTCACATCTTAGGAAATGTTACTGCAGTTACATTAAATACAATATTCTACATATAAGTTTGTCAGATACACAATGCTGGAATTTGCAAATATCACCATCCTTCACATATTTAAACCTTCCAAAGTTGAATTCAGTCCATTTACAACCTACCCACTGTGATACTCCCTGATAACAAAACTTACATTTCACACAGACAGAAGAATAAGAGAATAAGATTACAACAGGTAATAGTTTTAATTATAAGCTTTAACATCATGCAGTGGACTAATTGATGGTCCAGTATTTGTTATAAAATCAAAAAGAGATTTTTTTACTAAACAGGGATGCGCTGTGTGTTTTTATATATCAACAAATTTATATACTCGAGAAAGTATGTAATCAAATGAGAATGATATTGCTGTGATGCCTAAATAGATGTATGCTGAATAGTTTGTCCTGTTAGGTGTAGTAAGGCGCTACTCTAAGTGCTTTTTATATCCTTGTGCCATTGTGACGGTGCAAGAACTGTTAAACTTTGCCATACTCATTGATGATTTTATCTGACCCTTTGAGGTGTGAAGGTTGGTATACAAACAGTATTGACCCATCAACTCCGAGCCAATATTTTGCGGGCCACCATAGGGCCATGTGAGGAACCAGCATGTGCTGATCTCTCAACTCCGCAGGCTGATCGCAGCCTCAGTGTCTGTTTGGCCAACTTTGAACTAGACATTGCATTTTCAGAATTATTTAAGGTCTGCTTTTATCTCTAAACTTTGACTTATCATTGGGTTGTGAAGGCACCCAGCAGGCCAACACCAAACAGTAAGTTGTATCCGTCCGTCCACAGCACAGGCTTGACCAAATATGGACTTACTGATGGTCCAATATTTGCCTAAATGCAGAGTAGGAGGAGCCAAAAATATGTTGTGCTGGAATTCCAAATACACATTTTTTTCCATATTTATACGGATATTTATTGTTGGTAGTCACTTATAATTAGAGGTATATTTTTGTGATGTCAGTTTGTATGTATGAAATGATGAAACTAATACATGGAGTATTCTCTGCCATGTTTTAAAACAAATTTACAGAGTATAAGCAACTTATATGTGTATACACCTTTATTGGTGAGGATACTGTACGTTTTAAGTGTTTACATTCTTGTGAAATGTGATAAGTACCAAAGTGAAACTATTTATATATGTGTGTGCAAGTCTGCATATCATGCTTCTATTTTCTGTTATTTACAATTTATTACTCACCCATTTTTCAGGTGATATCATTTTCTCTCGTCCAAGTAAGACGTAATATAAGTGTACATTTTAACTGTATTTGAACGTAAAGCGTTTCAACATCAAAAGGTTCTTTCAACATTTGGTTGTTAGATTTGTGTGAAGACAGTTGCTGGCAACTTTTCTGTACAAACATTCCTTTTTACAAGTCTGTGTTATCCGTTTCGCATAGATATCAATAAAGGTATTTTTGAAAAGTCTGTTTTATTTGTCCTTTTAAAAACTTAAAATCAAAAGTAAATAGAGAATTGAAAGTAAATAGAGAAGCCCAAGTAGTTTTATGACATTTCATTATTGATTTATTTTCAAGTTAATGTCATTCCCCCCAAAAATTAACAATAATCCAACCTCTCAACATAAAGGATGTCGATAACATTGCCCCAACCATATTTATTTCTGATCAACATTTTTACACAAATATGTCTTTTTTTTTTTACAAATGTATCCGAGTAATCTACAAATATTTTAAATATGTGCAGCTTAGAAACTTTAACAGTAACAGGGATTTCAAACAGACATTTATACCACGTTTACTTCTTCCTTAATTCATACATAAACAGTGCTTGTATATCCTTATACAATAGTCATGAAAATGTACCTCCAATCTCTAAACAATGCGTGAGGAGCATTTATAGCAGTTAGAAATGTAATACCACCTGGCATTTTTCAAATGATTCAGACATTACATAGAATATTACAAGAAAGCATAAAGATAAACTTAAATGCATGCTAACAAACTTAAGTAGAAAATTTTGCAAGATGGAAAATTAATTGAATTAATAAATTAAGGAGTAAGATGTACATATATGGCACAAAATCAAGAAAATAATCATGTGGCAAAAAACGAAACAAGGCGTACAGTTTGTAACAAACTCATTTTCGTAAATAGTTTGCATGCTTGGATAGGGTAATATAGTGATCATTTAAAGCACACAAGAGAACCATAATGCCATTCCATAATATCACACCTAAATATCCAGACTTCTGCATAAAATGCTTGAACAATATAACATTATTATATAAGAAAATAAGTTTATTTTAGCTTACAGAATAATGCTAGAAAACTGGCTATGAATTGATTATTATAAATATTTTTCATTTTCTTTCGACAAAGTTATCTCTATTTTAACAAACTGAAAGTATAATAAAAACATTCAAAAAATCTTTTTACTTGTATTGTTACTCACTGGCTAATATTTCAGCAATTAATTTGTATTTTTAATAATCATTTTTAAGTTCTTGTGGTAAAAATTTATGGCAGGAAATATTCATAAAAAGAAACTTTTGTGCCAGAAAAGTCAGTGAGCAGTACAAGGAAATATACATATTATCAGCTTCATGTATCCCTGTATTTTAATATATTTTGACATTTTAAATTTATCAGGCTGTGTGTTTTAAGAGAGTTCTGGTCTCATCTTCACTGAGATTATCTTGGTGACATTCTCCCTCAGTGCCTTCTCCATCTGGTTCTTGAATGGAATTCTGAGGAGCACCATTTGTTTTCTTAAAACAAAAATATATATAAATATACATTTATGATACAGAAAATATCAAATTCAGGAAAAAAGGTTACCATTAAAATCCCATGAATGAAAGCAAAAACTGTTTTACACAAAAAAATCCTCCATTTGTTCCATTATGTAATAACATTTACTCAAACAGTTTTAAATTCACAACCAAAAGGCAAAGTGGTTGCTAAAAAAAACGTATGTGATAAACTGGAAAGTGGGGGTGGGGATGCAAGCTTGTATGAGAAGGAAAAAAGGCTAAATATGCCACTTTATTATTAAAAGCAGTAGCTCCCCTTCCCAAAAATCTATATGTAACAGTGGCTGTAATAAATGATGTGCAAAGCTGGAGTCTTTTGTTATGTATTTGCAAATTATCAATCTTTTCTCCAGAATGTCAAACAAGCCATCAATCAATATTCTTTGGATTATGTGATAGGTATTTAAGCAAAGGTTGAAAGTTTAACTGCTATAGTGATAGCCTTGTAGGAGCAGACAATGTGTTAGCTGTGGCAAAATACAACAGATCCCACTGGAAAACTAGAGGATCAGAGAGGCGATACCGCCTCCGAATATTGTACCACCAGCTGGAGCAAGCGCATTCGTATAGACCCCCACATACACAAAATAAGGGACACAGCCACCAGTTTTGTGTTTGACAAGCTGTAAAAATGCAATCAACAAGAATTTTTAAACTTTTGCAAAAAATATATATGGTTCAATCAAATTTAAGTTCTTCGTAAGATAGGTCAAGGGTCAATTTCAAGGTCACAGTAAATTGCCAGTATATGACTTCCTATTCAAGTTCAAGAGTAACTATGGACCTATCTCTGCCAGTTTTGGAGACAAAGGGAAAGCAAAATTTGCAAAGTTCAGTT